GGTTAGTTTTCGAATTATTTAAGCCACAAGCTAAAAAATGCGTCTGAATAAGCCTATGAAAGCGTTGCCATGGAAACTGCTAGTGACGAAATGACACCTATTTTTTGGATAACCAATGGTTATATAATTCAACCCTGTAAAAGTGTTCAACTGGCCTTGGTCGGTCTTTCTGTTGTATTCTTTCAAAGTTACAAACCATCAAAAAGACGAAAACCGGTACGAGCCACCTTAATTTTTCCCCGACTTTTTCCTAGCTTTTTTTCCCACTAATTTTAGTGCTATTGGCACTGGAAGTGATGTGATCACCTGTACGTGACTCGATAACAATTTGTCTCTCTTCATTGGAGGGCCACTCGAGTCGCCCTTGTCAGGGCTCCTACATGTAACCCTATTATGGAGCTTCCTACGTCGTGCGAATCTTCCCAGCTCTTGCTGAAGAGTTTACAAATATCATAAAGGAAAGCCAGGTGTGGTCATTTGAGATACTTTAATAGCGTTTCCCTTATCTTTGTAGAACGGGTTCAATTATCTTTCTGTTTTTCTTAAAAAAAAAACAGCAACGAGAACAAAGACATGATAAGAAAACGTTGCATTGTGAGCCACGCGAATGGTTAGTAGAGACTTATTGTGGATAATTCATTGTTTTGATAGAAAGAAATATCCAAGGAAAGAGAACAGTGGAAACTTGGTATGTTTTTTGTGCCAAAGGACGTACACTCTCCTGCATTTAAATTTTATTTTACCTGGAAGGGATTAATCTCTTTTAGTGACCACCAATGGAAGTGCTTTAAGCGATGTTAATATTCCTTTCCGATGACAGTTTTTTCAAGAAGTGACCGAGGCAACAAAAGAGACCACATTCACATAATGCTTCTCATTCAGAAAATGATGGCTTAGTTGATTCCCCCGGCCATAGATTTAGTAAATGACCGTTTTAGTAAGAAGGCAAGAGCTAACAATACCACTCTTAAATGATAAATTTGATTAAAAAAGGATTGCTGGTCGATTGGAGTCGTCAATACCTTTTAAAATTCTATTGTGTGTTCAAAAAGATAGCTTTATACTTTTTCTCAAAGCAACCAGTGCCCAAAATACGGTCGCTTAGAATGTCCACAGAAGGGAGAATGTTTCACACAAGATGTTAACCTAACTAATATTGACTTATGAAAATAAATACAATCTTCAAAAAGAAGAAGTAGTGACGTTCAATTTGATTATCCAAATAAATGCATTTATATACTACGCATTTGCGTTCAAGGATTTAATGAAAAACATGTGCTTTACCCAAACATAAATCAGTAGAGAAATTAAGATACTTTTTCTTGTTATAACTGAACTTTTTCTCAATTGAAAGTAACACAGCTCGCAAGGTTTTTCAGGTTCCCATAGTCCTTTTTGTTTTCGGGATAGGATGTTATTTTCCTTTCATTCTTCAATAAACTCACTTAAGCTAAGACAGCATACGATTTAATTTTCTTTATTGTGCTTAGTGCAAAATAGTTCAAAGCTTAGATTGTCATTCTGGCGTTTTCCTTCGCATGAATGAAATTTTGGAGGGCATTCTTCGTCATGGATATCGAGGCAAATATATCGACGAGGCTCCTCCAGACAAACGCAAAACTTTCAAACCATCACATTACGGTGGTCTCATTGACTTTTTTTACTGAAAATTTGTTTCTGCCCCTTATGTTTGGAAAATTAACCTAAGGTACGGGGAAATGGACGAGAATTGTTTTGTAAAAATGTCCAAGAGCCTCACATCACCGAATAGATTTCTTATTAATGTTAGCATATACCATACAGGTGAATACTGCTTATCGCGGGCGCTGATTGGCTAGTTTGAAGGTGATTAGCAAGCACTATTCACCTCCGAAAGACCAAAGGATCCAAATCGCGCGTCCAGAGTTTAATTTACGACCATTTTTCGGTACGTCCATCTCCACCTCCGTGAATGATTTTATATCATAATCATCTGCTATAATGTGTAGCGCATATCAGTTTGGTTATCTCGACTTTAAGAGGCAACCATTACATCAAGTCACATCTAACAATTTGGAACTGTTTGATAGTCACCATGAGGAGAATATCGAAAAAAATTTATTACACGAAGAGAAATCCTGAATTAGCATTTTCATTTGAATTTACGGATCAAAGAAAGTACTGTAATCAAGCTTCATGTAAATGTTGGACGAAACTGTCGTGAAATCTGAATCGGCAAAACATAAACATAACTTATGGTTTATTAGGCTGGAGTCAAAATTTAGAAAAACACAAAAAGGCAAAATAAAAACCAAAATAACAAGGAACAAACAAATATACAATTGATGCCTACTCAGAATACCTCTTTCTCTAATATAATCAACTGTCGATAGAATTTTAGTATTACATGCTTAAGTCAATAACGTAAATTCATTCCTTGATCAGCACCAATTCTGTGAAATCCCTATAGAAAGTGACCAAAAAACAAGAATTGCGGCGTAGACCGAGACCGTTGCAGCCTTCAAAGGAGATAAAACTTGTGGAGGGCGACACACAGACATCATACTTATCAAAGTCAACTTCTGTAATGCCACAAATTTGTGCTGTTTTGCATTCCTCGTCGCACTGTTCACCACCAGCGCTCACAGAGTTGTACAAGTAATACTTTTCAAAGTTGGAGCTACCTCGAGTTTTGAACGTTTGAACTAGCGAATGAAGAGACTTTGGGCTTACATCTGGAGTACGGAAGGCTTCAGTGACTTTGTATTCTAGTACCCAGTCCGGTTCGGACATCATGTTGGCCAGTCTTAGGTTGGTAAAGTACTGCCAAACATCCTAATCGAGATAAAAACGAGACAACCAACGCCGAGGTAAGCTATTTCAGTAACATTTTAAGTTATCTCGTGCTAAAAATTTATCAAAACAGCGTCGACTGCTCAAATTAACCCATTGCAAGCTCCACTACATGATGAAAAAGGTACCGAATATATTGTAAAAAAAAATTGGAAAATAGAGTTACGAAAAAAGGTAGTGATTGGATCAGACAGAGCGGCATAGAAAGGAGACTTTGGTTAATTCTCGCTTGGGTGTCATAATGATCGATAAAAATCGTCTAAAGCCTACTTTAAGAGGGGGGGGGGGGTGACTGGGGGAAGGAGTTAATTCAGCCTTAGATCCCTCGTTCAAAATGAAGGAGGTAGGTAAACGTTGGATGGGAACTTGATTCTTCAAGGAACCACGTCACGGTGTGGTAACGTGCATCTTTTCAAAGTGTGTGGTAACGTGCTGTCTTTTCAAACGCTGATCAAAAAAGTATCTTCAGACTAGAGGACATCGCAAGGTGAAGACAGCTTGGACAAAAAAATGGAAAGAAGTAACCATAATGACGATGGACTAAAAAGAAATGAGGATAGATAACTCGAGGAGCAGTGTCTCACTGGAGGGTATCAAAAGGGATTCCAAACAAATTAAGCCTAAGTTTTTTTATGAAAAGCTTAAGCGTAATCTCTTCTTCCATAATTTTTTTACAGCCTTAGACCCTTTGTGGAAAGAAGGGCGTCAATTTTGCTACGCCAGGACATCCATTTGGTGTAGTCCACTCGACTTACAAGCCACTATTTACATAAAAGCTAATGCTCACAGGGCTCTGGTGTAGGTGATCACTATTTCCAAAAGGGTGCTTTGCTTATTACCTTAACGTTCATGGTGCTTCTGTCATACTTATACAGCCGAATGCCAGGATTATTGTAGCCAACAGTGGGTAGCACTGTCTTCCAAGGCGTTACTGCAGGGCACAAGAAAATGGAACTTGTAGGAATTCCTGGGGTGAAAACTTAGATTTTGCATTAAAGCGAAGTTAAAAAACAAGACAATAACAACAAAAAGCAGAAAAAAAAGTTTTTGAGTAAACAAATTATTAGTCGCAAAGAAAACTAGGGTGATTGCCAGGGTCCAATCTGCACTCCATTTTACATTATACATTGAATTTACAAACACAGATAAAAACACAAAAGTGGTTGGATAAACGCTCATTTCTTCTTGAAACAAGGTTACAAATACACAACATTACGAGCTAAAACATTAGAGCATTTCATAAAAATTTCTGAGAAGAGATATCAAACATTCAACATTGCGCAACAGAAAATACATTCAATGCCAGTCTCATATATTCGAAATTTATGTTTCCGAGACTTTCGCTTCATGGAAAACATTTTGCTTCCAAGCCATCAGTATAAGGCCAACAGCCAAGAACCTCAAAAGTTTTAAAACATGAGAAGCCATTTGTGCTTTACTCATTTGAAAATATCTCAAATTCTGGGTTGCACTGTTGTCCGCGTCGATCATCGACTGGCCATGCTTTACATTTTGTATAACTGATGTATCTACTAAGTTTTACGTATGATGCACGATCCTCGCAGTAGATAGCGCTATTTAAGCAATAGCGAAAATCAGACCTGAAAAAAATCAGGCCTGTACGGGACTCGAACCACTGACCTCTGCGATACTAGTGCAGCGCTCTACCAATTGAGCAAACAAGCCAACTGGGAGCAGGCCGTTAAGTTGATTCGTAATAAACCCGTGAAAGTGATAAATCAGATACAATGAAATATATGAAGTTCATATATTAAGTTTTACTGTCTAACCCATGTCAAGGTTTACAGCCGAGATTTATCAGATGTTACAAGTCATGTGCTGTTGTCAGTGTAGTCCATCGACTGGCCATGCTTTACATTTTGTACACTCTATCTACTACGTTTTACTATCCGGCCCATGTCATGGTTTACAGCTGAGGTTTATCAG